TTCTAGCTTTAAACTATATCTTAAGATAAACCAAGAATAAAAACACATAAAAACGTGACAAAAGACACCTATTTATTAATACAGGAAAATGGTGTCTCTTTTTCTTTATAATTAAGCATCTCTTTTTTCTCCCTTGGTTGGACCTTTGAATCTTTTCCACAGAGTACTGCTGCTTTTATAAACATTAAAAACTAAGTAGACATACAAAATTTTCTAAACGGTAGAAAATGTACGCATTTCTTCACCTCATTTTGCCTTACTGGCTCTATTATTGTATTTTATCATAGTCACTGTCTCATAATTTAAAGTATAGCAAGAGATCATTTACAGAGGAGGTTTAAACAAAAAATTTGAAAGTTTTTTTCCCCTTTCCTTCTAAATCAGAAAGAATATGGCACTCCTTTAACACAAGGTTTTCTGGTAGTCTTTGCCCATCAGAAATTTGTTTGTTCTAGGGAGCTTTAATTTAAAAAGGCTGACAGCAGGTCTGTACTTATATACTCCTGGCATTGGGCCTTCCATAGAAATGCACATTAGATATTCAACTCCTGTCTTAAGCATTCTATTCCTGTAACCTGACTTCATCCTTTTCTTTCCACTGTTGCCACTGAAACTGGAAATCACTGCAGAATACAAATCATATGATAAATATTTGGGAATTCGTCTTTGTAATTTTTCAGGACCACTGCCAAACTTCTTGCCTGGAGAGTTGTGTGAGGCTTTTCAATCTGAAACCTTTGAGCAATCCCCTTCTCTAGCCAACTGGGAAGCATCCACATAATTTAATTGTAGCAGCCCTTCAAAGGGTTTAATAAACATTTCATCTTTGACTCCGTATTTTTCTAAAGGTGCTCATTTGTTGGCCATATATTTATACTCAGTAATTTCAAACACTGGGATGCATCTTCTTTATGGAGATGCTCAAATGTGATGCATATGGTCTGAACAGCATTAGCATAAATAAAGATTGTTTCCCTAAAATTTTTAACACAATGCTGTCCTCCAATTAGTCTGATCCTACTGAAAGACGCTACCTGTGGGTTTCCTTCTTCATTTACCAGTAAGCTACTAAGTGTACCATACAAGGTCCATTTCTTGATCCTCTTGAAGGTACTATAGCAAATCACATTGTCCTTCTGGAAGACAGTCCCAGATCTAATATCTTAAATATGAGTAGAATGGGTAGGACAAGTTTTAGGCTAATTAAACATGCTCAGGTGGCTCTGGATTCTCACTTTTAGGCCTTTTGTGATTTTCTCACTGATCTTACTTTTAAGCTGAGGCACTAATATATATAAAGGAGGGTTTTGCCTGTCCTATTTTTCTGCTATAATGAATGCATTCCATCTGCCTCCTTTGGTGTTGTTAAAGTTTCTTCTACAAACTTCTCAATTCATGAAGACAAACTGAGGATGTTCAATATAAGTTATAAGGAGAAATGAATGTGGCAAAAGTGTAAACAAAGCCAGTGTTTTAAATGTGTTCATAATTGGTAGCTCTTGAAATGATGACTAAGACAAGATATTGAATGTAGGAAGGACATTTCCTGATCAAGTAGGTCAGAAGCTTTTCTCTTCATTTAGATATTGGGGCCAATGCTTTCATCCATTAAGCCAATATTCTTGTTACTTACATCCACTTTAAGGCCTGAAGCTGTATTAAGAATTATATTTATGGCTGGGCATGGTGGCTTATGCCTGTAATTCCAGCGCTTTGGGGGGCCCAGGAGGGCGAATCACCTGAGGTCAGGAGTTTGATACTAGCCTGGCCAACATAGTGAAATCATATCTCTACTGAAAATACAAAAATTAGCATGGCATTGTGGTGCGACCCTGTAATCCCAACTGCTTGGGAGGTTGAGGCAGGAGAATCATAGAGACAAAGGCTGCGGTGAGCCCAGATCGCACTATACTACACGCCAGCAGGGGCAACAAAGCAAGACTGTCTAAAAATAAATAAATAAATAATAAATAAATAAGTAAACAAATAAATAAGTAAATAAAATTAAAACCTCTGCATTCACCTGCTTGGCCTCTTTAAAACTCAATAATTTAATGTCTTTTAAAGCGATCTTTCTCACATAGAGCTTATATACCATTTCAAGGAGATTAGCATTTGTGGTTTTGGACCCTCATGTTTCCCAGTAACAGTGAAAAAGGACTGGACTTGCTGAACAGTGGCCATTAGAACATGTGTGATTAGTTTTCCAATAATGTGGCTCAGCTTACAAATACAAAAGTATTTGTCTTTATATCAACCTTAATATTTATGAGTCAAGCAGCCAATTAGGCAAATAGCTCTGATGAAATGACTCTAAAATGTTCCTAATTTTAAGCCATCTTCTGACAGTGCCTATTTAGCTTAATTAATTTTAATAACAAATATCTAGAAAGACATCTTTCCACACTGATTTCAAATTTAAAATAAAACTAGAACCATAGTTTTTGTTTGCAAATCAAAAGTAATTTTTTTTTTTACTTGTTAGCCTAGGAAGGAAGTTGGTTCACAGTTATTTGTAAGTTCTTTAAATTTTTGCATTTACAGTTTTAATAAATGGCTTCCATCAATTCTATGTCGACAAGTTACAAGTTATTTTAACATCTATTTCATTATTTATACCTATTGGAGAGTTTGAGTTTAAACTTCTGTACTGTGTATTTAACTATGTTAGTATTGTAGCTTATCGCAAATAATAAAAATGGAGTTCATGGCTGTTGTCTGATATCTTAATATTCACACTGGCCATTTTTCAAAACTAAGGTTTATTTTCTATGGCCCACATGAAAATATATCTCCAAGTGTACTGTAGCTAGCCTGCCTAACTGTTTACCAGATTACTTGCTATCTAAACATAGGACAACCTTTAATTCACGCTAAGGAAAAGAATAACATGGTTAACAAGAAAGTATGGGAGCTGAAAGAAGTAAAAAGCAATATCCTAAATAAAACACAAACACATCTATTAATAAATAATATTTTCTACTCACTTGACAATGATTAATAAATATTTTTGACATTTCTCTTTGACTTTACTGTCTACATTATTTCTTATTAATCAAATGTTCATTGGGTGTTTATTTATTCTGACTCTGGTACCTTTTTTTACTTATGACAAATAAAAGGGAGGTCCTCATTCCACAGTGAATGGAGCTGGAAAAGACATGAATTGCTGAGTATTGTCCAAGAAGATTTTGGAAACATGAATCTGTCCACCTACAAATCCATAGTGGCTTATTCCGGAAATGCTAAGAAATTCTCAATGTCATACTCAAGAATTATGAGGTAAGTAGGAGAAGCTTAAGTGATTAAAAGAACAAGGGAAACTAAAATGATCAAAAAGAAGTGAGGATATTGTCTGAGAGTCTAAAACTGTAAGGATTCAAATCTGAAAAGGCAAAGGCTGAGTGGATTTTGGACAGAAGTATATATACCATACAGTGTGTAAATACAGTAATCTCACACTTGCCCACTCAGCAAATGCTGGAATATGAGCATGAGAGAGTACCTTCTGACTCCTAAGGAGCTTAAGACGATGTGTGGTCTCCAAAGTGCAGAGGAGCTCCTTATCAGGGTGAAGAGCAGCTAAAGAAACTACTGGCCATGGAAAAAGAAATGCTAGGGTGGCACTTTGTAAATAAAAAATACTGTGATGTTTAACTTGTAGAATGATACCAGTAACCTCATTTAGCTTCCTCAGGAGATACCTAGTGTTATCTATATAAATGCAGTGAGAATGAGAGCTCCATTATGCAGGCTTAGACAGGGGTGTCCCTCTTTGATTCACAGGGTATTGTAACAGAGTGCAGTTTGCATGCCTGGACCATATAGAATAGTCTTAACTCAACAAAATGGAGAAGTGGCTTTAAAAAGTGCTCAGCAAAAGAGATGCAGATTGAAGTTAATGATGACAGCACAGGAAGAAGCAAAGCAGAAAATTATGGAGCTGCCTCTCTTCCCAGTAGGAAACTCTTCATTAGTTACATTATCAAGTAGAAATAATGGAGAGTAAGCCACATATATTAAATACTAAGGGTGTGTGCTCAACAATTCTGTTATTATAGAGATATGCAATAAAAGAAGTTGGTGGAGCACTGGCCTAGGGTCACATAACATGAAATATCAATATTCATGTTTACCAACTTTATAACCTCAAGAAATATTTAAAGTTGCCATTTTTAGTACCTCTGTGAGTTTCCCTTTCCTTCAGTGCTTTTAACTTCTCTCTCATGCTTATTGTGGAATTTAAATCTCCAGCTTGTCCAAGCTGAGGTCTTTTATCTTCAAATTTCACCTGGATGCTATTGTCCCAAACCCAAATTATATTTCAAATTATATGTAATTTTTAATTCTCCCTTAATTAGCTCTTCATCCCAAATTGATCTACATTACCATTATTCCTTTAGGAAGTGAGACAGAGAATAGTATATAAGTTAAGAGCATTGCATCTAGGTTGTCTGAATTAAAATTTCTGCTCAGCTGTGACTTTGGAAAATTTACATTTTCTTTATGAATTTTAGTCTTCTTATTTATAAAATGGGGGAACTATTGGAACTTACATCAATAAATGCATCCTGAATTTTGGGAAAACCCAGTAAAAGCACATAAAACACTGTCTGCACAGAGCAAAATGCTCAAAATAATTAGCTATTGTTACTTTTTCATCAGTGCTCAAAACGCTGGCATCATTTCTGGCCATCTCACCCACATTTTTTTACCTCCCGTTTCCAGTAAGTCACCAGGTCCTGTCTGCTCCTCTCAAAAACTACTCCTGATCTAGTCCCACAGCCACTGCCCACTCATCGTTCCAATGCAGGCTAAAGCCAAGAATCTCTGACATGGTCTTCTCTCTCTGCAGGCTCTCCTAGACTCTACCCGATTTCCACACTGGACTATATGAATCTAATTTTAGTATAGGATTTATCTTACAGACCCTCTCCTCAAAAATTTTGAGTTCTCTAATATCTATCAGAACATAATGTAAACCATGCCTTTGGCTTCAATAGTTTTTCAAAACTGGCTTTATTTTACAGACTTTCTTGGCTATTCCAGCTTGCTTTCTGTTCCACTTTTCTGAACTGGAGTATAGGTTCCACAAAATTTAGCATTCGCTCTCCATTTGTTTCCAAATCATATGTTTGTCTTTTCTTCCCAACCAGATCTTGATCCCGAAGGCAAAGAAAGTATGTGTCTCACTTTCTTTTTGTTCTCCCAAGGCACCTGGTCCTAAATGCAGTAAACAAATTATAGATACACACCGTTGATCAATTGATTAAGAGATTTTAGGATATTACAAAGTCATGGATGATATTTAAAATTGGTCATTAAGAGAAAATTGGATCTTAAGATATACTGTTGATTTTTGAGGTGGAAATCAAGAAGACAGCTACTTCTTTCTTCAATATGATGTTTAGTCTAATGCCACTGTCAAAGATTTCACAAATATCAAGTCAATTATATGAAGTACAAGAAATATAAAGAGACATAAAGCAGAGGATCTCTCAGTCATGTCTTATGTGTGTGGAAGGGTCTGTTTCACAAAAATACACACATACATATAGATAGATGGGTAGGTAGATAGATAGCAATGGAATAAAGGCTACAATAGGACTCACTTTGATCAGGACAGTAAAAGAAAAAATGGATCAATACAAGACAGTTTCTGGGTCAGATTTCACATGATATTTCCCAGGTTACATCTTTCATTTTTATCTGTAACATGCATAAATATTCAAATTTTAGCTAGTCCATGTAGTGTGTATAATGTTAGTGAATCCATTAGGCTTGGAAACTGGTTGGTAAGTGTATATTTTTGGAAAAACAAGTTATAGTTAACATACAACCATGCCAATATTTGATAGAAGTGGGCATTTTTTGTTTTACGATGAAAATGTTTCTGGTGGTACTTTATTATTCTTTTTAGTCTTTCCTTATCCCTAGTACATTTTTTAATATTAAGTTCTCTTTTCTTAATTTTCTCATTTTGTAGTATTCTGTCTGACCCTGGCCTGTATTTTACAGTGATTTTACTCCTTTTGCCCTCAAAAAACATGCCAGTGGTATTTTTTGGTTTTGCTTATTGTTGCTAATGCTATTTCATACTAAGTGGGTTGCAGGTTGTCCTGTACTTCTGAGTTAAAATTTAAATCACAGTTAAAATTTAAAAGTATTGTGCAACAGTAAGAACCATAGGTTTAGTTTATTGTATATGCCTGATTAGTGTTGCTATTACTATTAACAGGACTAATACAAATGTGGTATGATCATTTGATATATTAAGCTAAATAAACAGGTAATGACTAACTCTGCATGATGCTAACCATGATAATTTTAGGCTTCAATAAATCACATACGGTATATTTAGAAAATAAGAAATAAAAATTTGAAAGTTTAAGTAAATGAATAAGATTTATATAATGGCTCCAACTGAGAAGAAAAAAAGGTCACGAAAGAAGCATGCGCTGATTTATGGTCTTTGACAGGATTTCTCAAAGTGTGTTGCCAGAACTTAGTCCTGTAACTTGCTTGGAGAAACAAATACTCTCCATTATGTAAAAAGACCAGGAAATGCTCTATACCATATGGCTCTTTAAAACTTCTCAATCCGGATTAACCTATTATGGGCCCTAAGAAATTCTCCAGCAAAGAGATCAATTTGACAACACTGAACTCAGTATTTATCTAACTCATTTAACCACAAAGTTATTTTTCTCTCAGAAAATGTAACACCTGGCAGTCCCAGTGTTAGAAGAAACGCAGTTTGAGAAAAGCAGGTATTGGTTAAGTGCTGAAGAGGTCAGAAGAGGGAGAGACGACTTGCAATTGGGCAACACCATTCTGCAGTAGGAAAAATTTGGGTGAGATCTTGAAGCTTGAGGGAAGATGAGCAGGTGAGGCATCCCAAACAGGGAACACTGTGACTGGAAACACATAGAAAAGAGAGTACCGAGTGTTGGGAGGAATGGTTTGGAAGAACCTGCTAGGAAAGTAGAAGGTTCCTGGAAGGCAGAAGAACCATTTCTAAGATTAAAACCCTCTTTCTGGGGAAGCAGATGTTCCTATAGGAAGAAATGGGGAAATGGGCTTTAACACTGTGAAATCCATGCCACTAGTGAAGTGATTAGCAAATGATATGTTCTAATTTCCCTTCATTGATATCCTTTTTAAAATGCTTATTTGATCAGGAAAGTTATTGCTTAATTAAAACTTGAATGGTGCAGGCCAATGCTGTTAAAAAGAAATGTAATGAGTCCAACAGAAATATATATGAGCTAGTTATAATTTTATAATATAAAATGCCTGATGTACTTTTAAATTTCCTACTAGTAACATCAAAAAAGTAAAAAGCAAAAAGTAAAATTAATTTAACAATGTATTTTATTTAACTCAATTTAGTCAAAACATTATTTCAGTATGTAATCAGTATCAAAATTAAACTTAGTTGGCTTTTTTTGGGGGATGAGCCTTCAACCTAGAGTTTGTATTTTACACTTACAACACATCTCAGCTCAGATTAGCCATATTTCAAGTGCTTGATCACCATGTGCCTCATACTACCATATTGGACAGCACAAGTCTACACATTAGCATAAATCAGCTGGGTAAAGCAGGGTAGATTTGGGTGGTTTTCTAATAGCTTTCGCCATGATCAGAAGTTCCAAATTATTTAAAATTAAATGAGTAAGGCATACTTGCTTTGCCAGTTTCTGAAACTTATGTTTCCATTTATTTTGGTTGAATTAAAAATAGCAAATTATAGGTTAAAAGGGATAAGCTTCACTTTTGACTTCAAATCAGCCAATTAATATAAATAAATGATGACCATCAAGCTCTCTCTGGCCTGTTAATGAGTTAACAGTCAGTGCATTTCTGACACTGAAACAAGAAGGCTCTATTGCAGATGCCAGTTGACTAGTAACCATGTACATGTTCTAAGAAACTATTTTTTAGATTTTTAAAATTTTAAATGATTCCTCCTGCTGGTGCAGTCTCTTCACACTTCATCACATTTCTAAATAAGCAATCATATAACAAGTGAAGATTTTATGTCCTGAAGGCATTATATCAATACTTACCAAATGCTTCTACTTAAAATACAAAGCAGTTTTATTCACACTTCCCATTTTTGAATCCTCTAAGGCCGTTTTGGGAGAGGAGAAACTAGAAGCCTGCTGTTCAGTTTTTGTTTCCTACAAGTTTTCTTTACTGAGAGCTTGCACGTTTCTTGTTAAGTTTCCAAAGCACATTTAATACACATTAGAATCTGAGTAAATATGGTACATTCTGTAAATGGAAGCTCTGGAAAACTGCTGCTTTCATATGGAAGAGAATACCATGGCAACTGCTGTGCTTCTGTGAAGAGAGCTCTGCTTGATCAACGTGGATGTGGATTAGGAATGGAAAATATCCAACAACACAGCATCCTCTTTGAAAGTTCATGGCTTTATTCCAGAGTCCCCGAACCTTGGCACTATTAACTTATTGGGCTAGATAATTCTTGGAGTAGGGTCTGTCCTTTGCATTGCAGGATGTTTAGCAGCTTCTCCAGCCTCCACTCACTAGATGCCAGTAGCAGCTCTCCCTACCCCCAACCCAGGTCATTAAAAATAAAAAAATGTCTCTAGACATTGCCAGACATCTCCTAGGAGACAAGATCATTCTCAATTGAAAGGCATTGCTTATGCCTGTAATCCCAGAAATTTGGCAGGCCGAGGCGGGAGGATCACTTGAGGTCAGGAGTTTGAGACCAACCTGGCCAATGTGGTGAAAACCCATCTCTGCTAATAATACACAAATTAGCCAGTTGTGGTGGCACATGCCCCTGTAATCCTTGCTATTTGGGAGGTCAAGGCTTGATCACTTGCAGGCCAGTGGTGGGGGCTGGCAGAGGGTGCAGTGAACGGAGATCACACCATTGCACTGCAGTCCGGGCAACAGAGTGAGACTGCATTTCAGAAAAAAAAAGAAAGTCTGAAGAAAATTTATTTAAAATTATAGCATGAGCTTTAATCTCAGAGTACAAATGTATTAATAATAAGCTATACTACATTTGCTTTTTAAAGTAACTTGTAGCCTTAGGAAAAGGTATTAGAGTCATATGAGATTCTCTTGTAACCCACCTTCTCAATCTCAATGCTTTTGTTTTAGCTTGTCATCTAATTTAAATATTCTGCCTCGTTTTTACATGGAATTGGCATACCAAAATGAAAGGCCAACTTTCATACAAAATTAATTATTACATAAAACAGAGAGTGAAAAGATGTAGCAGCTTGAACCAACTTAACTATATTTCAAGGATGTTTACTAAAATTGTTTTTGTAATGACCTGTACTCCCTAAAAATAAACACGAAGGACACTAAAACACCACTGCCATCAATTTGGTAGTTTTCAGTAGTGCCACAAAGAAAATGCAGTAATCTGTGTTTTAAATGGTATCTAAAACCTCTCCTATCACATAAAATATTGTGTTTAAATAGAATGTTTCAAAGTAAAATTTACATTTCTTGTTTATTTTTTATTGTTTTGTTGTTGTTGTTTGAGACAGAATCTTGCTCTATTGCTCAGAGTGCAGTGTAACGATCACAACTCATTTCAGACTTGACCTCCTCGTCTCAAGCAATCCTCCCACCTTAGGCTCCCAAAGTGTTGGGATTACAGGCTTTTTTGTTGTTGTGGTTTATTTGTTTTGTTTTTTTTTTAAAACCAAACCAGATTAAAAACAACTTAGTCCTGACTATTGTTTGTCATGTAAAACATTTGAACAGTTTAAGTAGAAGCACATTCCATACTTTAAAGCTTATTAGTGTATAAAATGACAGAAGTCAAGTTCATTCTGTATGTTTTACTGTTTCCTGAGCAACTCTTAGTGAGAGCTGACATGACACCACAAGGCTTGTAATTAGAGGAGGCTAATGGACTTTTTGGCAAAAAAGTAGAGTCTTGTCATATTTTCCTTTAAATTAAGCAAACACAAGTATTCAAGTTGGGAATAAGGGAGAGAGAGAGGGAAGGAAGAAGGGGGGGAGAGAGAGAGAGGGAGGGAGAGAGAGAGGGAGAGAGAGAGAGAGCGAGAGAGAGACTTTCAATAGTGTAGGAATTTCCAGTTAAGGTCTGAGATTTAAAGTGAAATGCTAGGTGTGGATCTGCTGTTTCCTTGGTTCTCACATCTTACTGAACCATATGTGTTGCTAATGTTTAAAGATCCAACTATTTTTATTTTAAGATT